TTTTGTCTTCGAGGTCAGGTAGTGGTTGGAAATCCCCACCAGCAGGCTTTTTCTTTCTCCCTCGTGAGAAGTAGCAAATGATACCATTAAGCGTCCTCTAAGACTGATCCCTACGGTCCTAGGAAGCTGGAGGCAGCATTTCCATTAGAAACACGGATGCTGAGAGTTTTTTAATTAAACGGGTTTGTCCGGCAAGCCCTCAGCCCAGGACAAAGGCTCAAACCAAACCAAGGGACAGAACCTGTTGCAAAAAGTCAAGAGTCTCCACTTTTTTCCAGCTGTTCGTTGGGTACGGAAAGGGCAGTAGGGTTGAGCGTAGGATTGAGCGTAGGGTTGAGCGTAGGGTTGAGCGTAGGACAGGGAAGCAGACCAGTAGCATTAGAACCCCTACCATGTTTTAAATACTAATTTCCAAGGTGAGACCTGAGGTGGTCTGTGGCCTAGGGGAAGAAGAAACAGATGGGTTTAAGAGGAGCCCCAGCGCTCCCGGAGCACATAGATAGCCTGAGCCAGGATTTTTGAAAATGGGAAGGTAAGCCAACCAGGGTGGCTGTCGTGCTCTCTGCCGTATGTTTGCTCCGTGCATTTATGTTTTAACCGGGTCACACTTCAGCTCCTCAGAGGTCGGGAGCTTGGTGTCCTTTTGGCAAAAAGCCCAGCCCGGGCTGCACAGTGGGCAGGCCGCGGTGGCCGTGAGCCTTCTGCCCGGTGACGTCCTCTGCCAGAGTCCCTCTCTGCCAGGAGCTGGTCGGGAACACACGAGCCATGAATCCCTACCTCTGGCAGCCGATCCTCCTAGTCTTATCACACATCCACGATGAAGGCATTCACCTGGCGGTTTCTGTGAGGCACCCCGTGCCAGGGGACAAAGTGGTGGCCCCACTTCGTCCCACCAGGACGCTTCTGGCAAGTCGTCTGAGGAGGGAAAGCGAGCGGAGAGGAAGGAGTTCCCTGGAGGTGGGGGAAGGAGCCTGAACTTGGCCCTAGCAATCACTTTTCTTGTCAGGCCCTCGGGAACCCCTGCCTTTAGAACTGGCCCCTTGATGTTGCGTGTTGAGGAATGGAGGGAGCCGGGTCACCTGACCCAAGGTGAAGAGAACCGAGCAGCTGGGGGCTGCCCTCTTGGGAGTCCCTTTGAAATGTTTTTGTCCTTGCAGTTTCTAAGATGCTGACTCGAGCCCAGGGTGGTGGGAGCTCTGGCCCAGGCGGTAGTCGCCAACTTAACATCCTGTGCGCAGCTCGGAAACTCACCTGGAGCCCAGTTGTTCCAGCTTTTTGCCCAAAGAAAAGCCAACTCGCGAATACTAATCAGCTCATGATTGATCTGTCCTTAAAGATACGTACGTATGTCACTTAGAGCCTCGGACAGGGCTGCAAGAGGGGACGGTCCAGGCAGGCAGGACTGTGCCACAACTGGGAGCCCGTACGGCCCCTCTTCCCGGTGCCCACAGAGCGCCTCGGAAAGCCGGAACCATGGCACCACTGGGCCAGAGGTACTCAACGTCGCACGTGAAGGGATTGGGGTGACACTCATCACTCCACCCAAACGTGCTTAGGTCAAGGCTGGGATAACCTTGATGCCAGCAGCACACACCAAGGAGAAACATGGCGTTTCCTCCACAGGATGATAGGGCCCAGCTTAGTCCCAGAAGTGGGAACACTCTTAGGGACACCTGTTACTTCGTTTCTTAAAAGCACAAGAAAAAAGACCTTCTGAACCCAAGAGCTGTTTACTCGCCTAAGGACCAGGCGTGTTTCTAAGTGCTTTCCTTGCCCACGTGTCCTTTCAGGGTAGAAGCTGGGGGCAGCTGTGGAGTCTGGCTCTTTGGTTTCCTTCTCTACGTGATTCAGAAAAAGGGAGGATACCTCCCCAGGGACGTTGGTGGCACCTCAAAGGGAAAAGGTCTGCACCCTAAGAGGAGCAGGACCTTTGGATGATGATGAAAGTTACTTTCTTAATACGCGGGCCGGAGCTCTCCCTTGGGGAGCAGAACAGGAAAGGCTGGGCCGCTGCGGGACTTGTCAGAGCCACGCTCCTCCTGCAGCCTCCAGCCACTTGCCAACTGCCTCATGGTGTACAGTTGTGCTGCTGCTCCTCGCCCTGAGCGAGGCCCCAGCCCGCAGGTGCAGGCCCTTCTGCCCTCACAGTAACCAGCTTTCACCCTGATCCCCTCCCACCGGAGGCCAGTCGAGAGCACTCTGCAAACTCTCCCAACAGCCCACACGTGGAAACAAGGGAAGTGAGCTGGGGCAAGAAAGTACGTTGCTCTTCACAGAGGACGGTGAACCCGGGCTGGGGTGCAGAGAGGTGGTGAGGGGCTCACAGGCGGCCGTGTTCCCTGTAAAGGAAACCCCAGTTGCTTTCTGTGTCCCTCTGCGGTAATTGAAGGCAGGAAAAATGTCTGGGTGATTAACGGTGGTAGTAAACTTTCTTACCAAGTGAGTATCACGGGATAGTGGGAGAGATTACCCTTGTGAATAAGTATCTGTAAAATATGTATGTCCTTTAGGGCGGGGAAGGTCACTAGAACCCAGGTACTGAATGTGGGCAAAGTGCTGGGGCGACTAGGCAGCACTGACCCCATTGAGCCCCTAGTTCATGAGGAGCAAAGATCCAGCAAAGAGTTCGGGCTAAGGAAATTAATCCCGCAGATACACAGCCCGTGAGGTGTTTTGTGGATCACAGCTTCTCTGTCTCTGGCTTTCTCAGGCTTCTAGAATGTTCCTGTGCCTCGGCGTGGAGGAGGCAGTCTTTGAACAGCGGCCATGAGACAGGTTATTTAGGTCTGTGCCTGGAACCGGGACGGCCTCTTGAAGTTTCTCTCTGCTCTCAGTCTCCCCAGGCCGCTCTCAGCTCCCACCCCTCACTTTCCCCTCTCCTCCGTGGCTAGTATGGCCTAAGACCCAGGGAGTCTGTTGAAAGACTCCTATTTTTTCAATAGGTCTGCAGCTCATGGCAGAAAATTAAAGCATTTTCATTCCCACAAGATCCCCCATTTTGACAGCTCCCTAAGGAAAACACAACTTCCTGGCTTTTCTGTTTTTCCCTCTTCCCACCAGCGATGCTGACTCTGTGCACTTGGGCGAGAGTCTCCGGGGTGTGAATTGCTCTCCTCGGACAGATACCCTGTGTTGAGGGCCCCCCTCCCACAAGCTGTGTTGTCTCTAAAAGAAGAGGTTTCCACGGCAGAGTTCTGCCCCTACGAGATGACTTTCAAGACACAGAGGCTGTTGCCTCCACAGTAGGCAACACTTTTGGCCGAGGAGGGCGATTCGTCTCCACCACGTTTCAAGTCGAGCTTATTAGACAGGTTGCTGGAGGGGCTCGCACATCACGGAGCGGGCTAATTGGCTGCAGTGCACTCTGCCTCCAACCCATCTCCCTTCTCCAATTAAACTCCCATCATCCTGTTGTCCTGGGCGACCTGCTGCTGCCTCCGATCAGGCATTTCTGTTTAGGTTGGGAGTTTTGGGCTTTTTTGGTCCTTGGAAAGGTAACTTAATGAAACACTTTAAATACTTCATTTTTTTTTAATTTAAACTCTTTTAATTAAAGCACTTTTCATGGACCCCTCGGTCACCAGTTCTTTCCCCACATCCTTCAGTACTTAATCTCAGAGCAGAATTGGAAATATCGATAGAAAGTGTAAATCACGCCCTCCTGCTGAAAGCGTTGTATCAGGTTTCGGCTCAAAAGAGCACCATTACCTTTAGCTGTCACGGATCTGTACACTTGATCGATAAACTTCAAATATTATTAGAGGTGGAGGCTTCAGAGATTTGCTCTGTTCTTTGGAGAGAGACAGAGATAAATCTTTCTTAAAAATTGACTTGAATTTGCACTCTCCGTCTTCCTGGTGAAATGCATTTCTCTCAGGCGTCCAGCAACTGCAAGGGGGACAGATTTATAGGGCCATGTGCTTCTTGTACTGAAAGATTTAAATGGTAAATCCTTCACATATGACTTCACAAATCATGTAAAGTTAAAAGATTTTTACCGTTTCTGTTGCTGCTGTGCTTAAATTGTAAGGTACAGCTAGTAAATCATTTTAATGGAGGTGTCGTACTTGACTCAATAAAAAAAAAGACAATGGTTTAGCTTCCACTCCAAAATGTTAATGTATTAATCAACGGGAGAATAATTGTTTTTTACTACATTATAAATCTCGGGTACCATTAGGACTTCAGCAAGGGGTGATGTAGCCACATTCCTAAATTAAAATTGTTTACACTGCCATACATCCATTCCGCATCGCCATAGCTCATTCTGGGTTCATTCTGGAGTTGTTCCCCAGTCAAACGTGCCGTTCCTCCGTCGGGAGAAGACGCCCCGAGGCGGTGATGCTTATAAAGGAAAATTAATTGCCTCGTGAAGTGTTAAATAAAAGGAAACCCGTCTGTGGCAATGGACAATTATTCCTTGCTGTCTGTTTTTTGAAATAGGTTTTTAGGTTTTCGAAGGAGGCCTACTCCCTCGTACATCCTGAATGTAGCAAGCATGGCACCTGTCTTTAGTTTTATAAGCCTTGTTTTATCTCGAGGCGGCTGTGGCTTGTGAGCTCCTTTCCCTGTGCACGTGCCTGGCGGGGAAGAAGTCGCTGGGCACCTACTGAAAGCTCCCGTCGCCTCCCCTCCAGGGCCCGAAGGCGCCATCCCCAGTGCCCTTGAGTAGCTAGGTGGGCCTCCTGGTTGGGATCTGCAGCAGGACACAGACGGAGGGAGCGCTAAGACCAGGCCAGCACCAGACAGACCGTTTCTTCTCTCCCTGGTCCCTTAGTGCTCCTCCGCTGCGTATCACAAAATTGCCTTGCGGGGAGAACAGATCAGTCCGGCACTGGACAGGTCAGTGTGTTCCCTTGGTGTCACCGGATCCACCTGGCTTGTCGCTCTGACTCCTCCATTAGAAAAGAAGGTGACCTCCGATCCGGAGGCAGTGTGGCCAGGGCTGCTGGTGTCTTGCAACGAGCTCTACAGCCCTGTTCCTTTTCTGATTCCGACAGATTCTCGAGCGGGCGAGGAGGGCGCCATCCGAGCGGTGGATCACGCCGTGATCGGCGGTGTCGTGGCCGTGGTCGTGTTCGCCATGCTGTGTTTGCTCATCATTCTGGGCCGCTATTTTGCCAGACATAAAGGTAAGCAAGGTGCTCTGGCAGGCAGGAGGTCTCCCGCCACCACCGCCCCTGCCTCTGGGGACGGGACAAGGTTTTCTTCCATGGGCGGTTTCGATTATGTGGTCACACAGCCTTATTGAGGTTTCCCGAAACTGGGAGAGAAAAAAAAAAAAAAAAATCTTAGCAGCTGCTGATGAGGACTCCGAGGGTTGATGAGCCCTTCTTGATTTGGATTTTCTCTAAAAGCTTTCTAGACGTGGGATTCTGCACTCCGTAATTGGGCCTGGAGCAAAAATTATAAAAATAGGGGCCGGGGTGTGAGAGGTGGGGCGTGAACCCCCAAAGCAATTGACATGGGAAGAACGTGCCCGTACCCTCTGCTGCTTTTTGGGAAGCAGGTGGACACGCAGTGCTGCCTGGTCCCAAGCTCCGGGGAGGATGGTCACAGCGGCTAGAATACTTCCTTGCTTTGATGTGCTTTAAAAGCCACATAAATATGTATTTTTTTTAAATTATCAGTGCAATTGATTTAAATTGCCATTAATCATCACACTTATCAGCTGTGCAGCCTGGATGGGCAATCATCTTTTCCAACGCTCCTCCTCTGTGCCCCATGCTGCTCTGGTCCCTCTTCCCCCGCTCTTGGTAATTTATTCTCCCTCTCTTTGTCGGCCCTTGTCTCTCTCCGCTGTTTTTCTCCAGCTCTGTGCAGTGAGCTTGTGGGGTTTTCCTATAGCATTAACCGCAGCCGCTTGCCTACCACTGGATCGTAGAATTGGGGTTTAGGGAAGGCCCCCTGAGCCCAGCAATGGAGGCCCAAGGTACTTGAAACCACCTTGAGCATCCGCAGTGCCCGTCTCTGTGGGGACCATTTGGGAGCCCTCTGCCCTGCCCAGGAGGCAGCCCGCTGAGCCGAGAACGCCCAGCCTCTTGGCTTGATAGAGCCTGGGAGGGGAGGCCGGAGAGCAGGGCCAAGTCGAGTCAGCAGCTGTGGAGAACGAGGGGCCAGAGGAAAGAAAGGGACAGGAGGGGGACATTTGACCGCCTGCCTGCTCAGATTTGTCACAGACGAAAACCTGAAAATACCACCACTGTATCAGCCTTTTTTTTCTCCCTAAGAATCTTCAAGAATACACTGTATCACGGGAGGAGGGCTGTTGGGTTACAGTAGGCCGGGCGAGCGCTACCTAGATGTCCTGCTGAGGCGCAGCCCTCGTCTCTCTCCGTAAACTCCCGTAAACGGTTGGGACCTGCCGAGGAGAGTGTCTCCCCCTTGGAGCACCCTGTGTGTCGTCATTCTCCAGTGGCTGTGTCAATTAGCGAATCCATGAATCCGGGTCCGGGCTAGAGTCACACCTTGAGCAAGACTCACTTGTCCCTTAAGACAGACCCCAAGTCTTGATCCCAGGGGTTACGATAACGAGCTGCTTCTCGATCGGGAGCCCCCCGCGGAAGCGGGAGGCGGAAGACGGTCAGACGTGCCCATGCGGGCCCCCGCTGACTCACAAGGCAGCCAGGGCTCCCACAGACAGGAGGCGGGGGGGGGGGGCAGATAAACGAGCTGAGGCGACAGTAGAACGTCATCAGGGCCCTAATTCATTAATTGGCTAATTGCTCTTCCTTGCTTTGGTCTTTAACTATGTGCGCGCACATCTCTGGTCATTGGTCCTGGCGTTGACTGTTCACACGTCAGTCAGCAGCTCTCCAGCTTTCTGCGTTTTTAGCTCCCACGCACGTCTCCTTCCGCCGACACCCTCTGGTCATAATCACTGCTCTAATGTCTCATTTGCTGAATTATATCGCAGCGGTTCAGTTGGAGTGGTGCCTTTGGAACCCCCGGATGCCCATTTGTCTCACCCACCTCGCTCTCTCCTTCCAATTGTTTTTTTCCCCTCTGCTGCCTGCACACCACTTCGGCTGATGATGGCCATAAAGCAAGTTGCCATCTCTGTACCACTTTGCACAGAGGCCATCAGACAGTCACGGTGATTTACCCCTTCATCTTTCAGGTACATACTTCACTCATGAAGCCAAAGGAGCCGATGACGCAGCAGACGCAGACACAGCTATAATCAATGCAGAAGGAGGACAGAACAACTCCGAAGAAAAGAAAGAGTACTTCATCTAGATCAGCCTTTTTGTTTCAATGAGGTGTCCAACTGGCCCTATTTAGATGATAAAGAGACAGTGATGTTGGAACTTGCGAGAAATTCGTGTGTTTTTTTATGAATGGGTGGAAAGGTGTGAGACTGGGAAGGCTTGGGATTTGCTGTGTAAAAAAAAAATGTTCTTTGAAAGTACACTCTGCTGTGACACCTCTTTTTTTTGTTGGTTGGTTGGGTTTTTTTTGTTGTTACTGTTTTTCTTTTTTGTTTGTTTTTAAGTTTTATTTCTTCCTACCAAGTCAAACTTGGATGCTTGGCTTTAGTTCGAGTAGACTGCAGAAATTCTGTGCCTTGTTTTTTGTTTGTTTGTTTTTTGCGTTCCTTTTTTTTTCTTTTTTCCTCTTTTTACTTTGTGCGCGTTTATTTTTTTTTTTTTTTTTCCCCAAAATCTCCCATTTTGGAATTTGCCTGCTGGGATTCCTTAGAACCTTTTTTCCCCTGATTTTGTTGTTGTTTTTGTTTTTTGTTGTTGTTGTTATTGTTTGGAGAAACTGCTTTCTCTTCAAAGTTCAGTTCCATAAAAGGAGAACCAGCACAGTTTAGATTTCATAGTTCAGAATTTAGTGTGTCCATAATGCATTCTTCTCTGTTGTCGTAAAGATTTGGGTGAACAATGAGGACTCTTTGCTGCTACCCATGTTTCAAATACGTAGAGCAGTGAAGACTAGAAACTTAGACTGTGATTCAGAAAATGTTCTGTTTGCTGTGGAACTACATTACTGTACAAGGTTATCTGCAAGTGAGGTGTGTCACAATGAGATTGAATCTGTCTTTAATTCTGTATCTGTAGACGGCTCAGCATAGATGCCCCACACTGTCCAGAAAGGTTTGGGGGCGGAAAGGGCTCCTCCTTTTTCAATGCCCTAAATGGACCTGACAGGTGAGGTCTGTTCCTTTTATATAAGTGGACAAATTTGAGTTGCCACAGGAGGGGAAGTAGGGAGGGGGGGAAAGCTAGTTCTGCTCTGGTTATTTCTTTTCCAAACGATTCCATCCGCCTTTCCCAATCGGCCATACTTCTCACTAATTTGTAGGAAAAAGCAAGTCCACGTGGCGTGTGAATGACTGGATGGGACAGGGTTGGTTTTTTGTTGGTTTTTTTTTTTTTTTTTTTTGTGCTTAGTTAGGAAGGCAGTAGGATGTGGCCTGCATGTACTGTATATTACAGATATTTGTCGTGCTGGGATTTCCAACGCAAATCCGTGTGAAACTTTCATTCCCTCAGATTTGGCTTGACAAAGGCAGGAGGTATAAAAGGAGGGCCGGTATTGTTCTCACACTGGTCTGCTGTCGATCTCAGTTCTCGAAAGGTCAGAGCAGAGGTGGAAAAACAGCATGTAGGGATTTTCAGTTACTTAATCAAAACTCAAATGTGAGTGTTTTTATCTTTTTACCTTTCATACACTAGCCTTGGCCTCTTTCCTCAGCCTTAAGAACCATCTGCCAAAAATTACTGATCCTCGCATGATGGCAGCCATAGTGCATAGCTACTAAAATAAGTTACCTTGAACATATCTTAGATGGGGAGCCTCGGGAAAAGGTAGAGGAGTCAAGTTACCATTTGCATTTTTTTAAAGCAATGTGGGGATTTTCACTGATACGTCTAGGAAATCTAGAAGTAGTCCCGAAGGACGAAAACTAAAAACTCTTACCATATGTTTTGGTAAAGGCTTCAGACTCCAGAATACAGTCCCTATGGAAAGATGGCATCAAAAAAGAGATCTATATATATATAAATATATATTATATAACATTTTCAGTGAGTAATTTTGGATTTTGCAAGGTGCATTTTTACTATTGTTACATTATGTGGAAAACTTACGCTGATTTATTTAAGGGGGAAAAAAGTATCAACTCTTTGTTATTTGAAAGTGTGTTTATTTTTCTTGTCTTTGTTTTAACCTTTGATAGAACCATTGCAATATGGGGGCCTTTTGGGAACGGACTGATATGTAAAAGAAAATCCATATTGAGCAGCATTTTGTTTTTCCCCCTCCTATCCCTAGGCACTTAACCAAGACAAAAAGCCACAACGAACATCCATTTTTCAATGAATTTTATAACGTGCAGCTCTATTCCGAGCCCTTAGCACCCATTCTGAGCATAGTATAACCGCATCAAAGGGTGAGAACCATTTAGCATGTCGTTGAAAGGTCTTTTCAGTTGTTCTTTTTAGGGGGAAGAAAAAAAAAAAAGCCTACCATTGCTCACAGAATTGGCATCTCATTTTTGGGACCTCCCATCTTTGTTTTGAAAAGTGTACAGTAGTGCAGTGTTCCTGATGTAACTTTATGGCTTACAATGTTGACATGTCTCAGGTTCATGTGTTTCGATTGGTGTTTTCCGTCTCAGGTAGATTGCAAAGTGTAGGCCCCACACATTGGAAAAGAAAATAAATAAATAAATAAAAATAAAGCAAAAACAGGAAATTATGGGTTTTAGTTGTATATTGGTTTATGTATTTTTTCTTAAGTATACAGTGCACTGTTTGAAATGTATTGTTGAGTATTACTTTGTACAGGTTGATCACTTTTTTTAGAGTGAAGAAAGAACAAACTTGTTTTTTGTGTTTTTTAAAGGAATATAAAATAATGAAGGATGTATCATTGATGCCAAATAAGCTTGTTCTTTAGTCACACCGACGTCTTATTTTTCCCTTTAGGCCAGTTCTGTTTTTAAGGTGTACATGAACAATGTTATGGTGTAAGAAATTCCATATCCATATGTTCCCATTCGCATTTTGTATTGGTTCATGTATACCATTTTTACAAAAAAAAAAGAAAAAAAAAAGAAGTACTATAAAATATCTGTCTTCTTAATAAAAAAAAATTAATGTTACGAAGTGATCCTTTACTCTCTTTATGGACTTCTTACGGACGCCGGGGCGCGAGAGAAGAGATGGGGGCCCGGGTCCAGCTTCCTCCCCAGGGTCGGGCGCGGAGCCTGCCGGAGCCGGGCAGTACGAGCCTGGAGAGGCTGCCGGCCGGGCCGGGGCTGCGAACTGCTGTCTCCTCCGCTCACCCTGCCTGCCCTTGCTCTCTTCTCCCCCACTCAGCGCACAGGTGGGCCAGGTTGTGTGGCCTCGTGGACTTGGCGATTTGTGCAGGAGCGCGCCCGGGCGGTGATGAGCCGGCTGGGAGGGCCCCCGCCGCCCACAGGTCGCCTCCGCCCTCCCTCCCTCCCTCCCTCTTCACCCGCCACCCCCACCAACTCCCCTGTGTTGGCTGCTCCACCTGTCTCTGCCTTCGGGATTTCGTGTCTTAACAGTTCATTCTGCCTTCTTCATTTCAAGCGCTCTCTCCTGTAACACAAGGACGATCCGCGGGGGACGCACGTGGCCGCCTGCGGGAGCCGGTTCTCACTCGCTGCTTAGGCGCCGGACTTCAGGACAGGCGCACAGCAGGATCCCATGCGCTGTTGCCCCCCTTGCCTTGCAGGCCCAAGTGAGCAATGACTGCACTTCATGGTGACTGATCTCACAAATCAGCGGATAATGTGTGAGCAGCCCCAAACCGCCTTCGCCCAGCTGGGGCGGAGCTTCCTTCTCTCTCTCTCTCTCTCTCTCTCTCTCTCTCTCTCTCTCGGGCAGGTAATGCGGAGAGCTCAGCCGCAGAAAGAAAGGTAAGCTCCCGAAAAGTCCCAAGGCTGTGCATCTCACTCCGGCCTCCTCCGGCCTGGCCTTGTCTCTTGCCTGTCTCTGTACAAATCGGCCGATCGGATACACAGTTTCCCGGCGTCTGCTGTGTGTTCACTGTTGTGATAAACACCGAGAAGTGTGTGATAGTCACGGGAGACTAGCCAGGGCATCCGTCCCACCCACGTGAAACTGGGCCTCAGACCTGGGGGCCCTGCCGAACGATGGTTAAGGAGCCCCCAGGGTCCTGGGGGAATTTCTTGGAGAAGGGAAACGGGCTGGAGAGTCAAGACAGCTTCCTGGAGGAGCTGGAGTTCCAGGGGGCCCGAAAGCATGGGTTAGAATTGAGGGAATGGTAGCCGAAGGCGCCGAGGGCAGTAAGCCCAGCCAGCCTGCTGGCCTGGGTCGGGGGAGAAAGCAAGCCAGATGAGACTTGGAAGGTGGGATCAGTCTGTGGCTGTCCTCAAAGCCTGGGCAGGAGAATCATGGTTTCAAGGGCCAGTCTGGGCCTCTGTCAGGGGCATGGAGCCATGGGGAGCACTAATTCATCCCAGCTTTTTCAGAAGGTGATAGAGGGCAGAGATTAGGAAGACGGGCTCCTGTCCCTGCTCCACCACACACTAGCTGTGAAACCTCAGGCCGGTGACCCACCCTGCCGGGCCGTGGTCTCCTGCTCTGGAAGGTAAGGGTCCCCATAAGTGTTAGGAGAAATAATGAGAGAAACAGAAAGTGCTTAGCAAATAAGGTGCCAGACACAAAGTCAGCCATACAGGATGGAGGGAGATGGAGTAAAGGGGTAGAGGCTTCCCCCATGGCTACCAAGAGGTGGGTACCGTCCATCCGAGGGGAGCTCTTTGGGCCCCTCCGCGTGTGGACACTGCATGTTCTCGGGAAGCTTGGCTTGGAAGGTGTAACCACCTCTGTCCCCTGGTCTGTAGCATGATGGTCCAGATTCAGTAGTGACCTACAGGGCAGGGACCCAGGTTCACTGAACTGAGGCAGGTGGGGGGGCAACTTGGTGCACACGGAGCCCTTAGAGTTCCGCAGGGCATGCAAATGAGGAGGCGCCAGGAGCAGCCCACGTGAGCCTGATAAGTTGCCCAGTCGCTGGTTTGGCCCTCGTGCGCTCCGGAGGGTTCTCACGAATGTTTTGGCCTGCTTGCATTCTCCAAATACATCAACTGGAACCCCAAGGTGATATGCGGGTGTTAATTGGTGCAATCTTTCACTGTCCTCTGTCTACTTGAGATGTAATTCTTGTTCTGCCATGGACTTTCCCCGTGGAGAAATGTTCCTTTGAGTCTGTCATCCAGAGCCTTAAAGCAACCAGGCACCGTGCTACAGGTAGGAGGACCCCGCCTGAGTGAAAGCGTTTTTGTTTCCTTGTGAATTTGCCTCAG